AGTACGACAAGGCTGTATATTGTCCCCCTGTTTATTTAACTTATATGCAGAATACATCATGCGAAATGCTGGACTGGAGGAATCCCAAGCCGGAGTTAAGATTGCCGGAAGAAATAACAGCAACCTCGGATATGCAAATGATACCACTCTGATGGCAGAAAGTGAGGAGGAATTAAAGAACCTCTTAATGAGGGTGAAAGAGGAGAGCACCAAAAATGGTCTGAAGCTCAACATAAAAAAAAGATCATGGCCACTCCTCCTGTCACCTCCTGGCAAATAGAAGGTGAAGATATGGAGGCAGTGACAGATTTTACCTTCTTGGGCTCCATGATCACTGCAGAGGGTGACAACAGCCACAAAATTAAAAGATGCCTGGTTTTTGGAAGGAAGGCAATGACAAACAGCATCTTAAAAAGCGGAGACTTCACCTTGCTGACAAAGGTCCACATAGTCAAACCTATGGTTTTTCCAGTAGTGATGTATGGAAGTGAGAGCTGGCCCATAAAGAAGGCTGACCACTGAAGAATTGATGCTTTTGAATTGTGGTGCTGAGGATACTCTTGAGAGTCCCCTGGACTACAAGGAGAACAAACCTATCAATTCTAAAGGAAATCAACCCTGAGTACTCACTGGAAGGATAGATCCTGAAGCTGAGGCTCCAGTACTTTGGCCATCTCATGAGAAGAGAAGACTCCCTGGAAAAGACCCTGTTGCCACTTAAGGACTAAACAACAATCTCCAAAATCTTGCCCCCAGGGGTCACTTGATCCTCTCAACTTGCATGGAGACAGAAAGACCTTCCAGGCTGTTACTAAGGGGTCAGGGGTAGCCCTAAAGGGCTCTCAGATCAGAATCTCAACATCTTTGCAGACAACAACAAAAGATTATAGGGCTGCAGACACTTAGAAATCTGATCTTAGGCACACCACTTCTTTTCCCCTATGCCCTTCTATTGTTACACTGGCCACAATCCAGATACTTCAGCTGTGGTATTCTGATGTATATCTTGCTAATCAGGAAGGTGGTGAATTACCTTGGCCCTATGCTAGGAACCAAAGGCCAGTAAACAGAGAAAGAAAGAAACATACTGGGTTTCCAGAGTCTCCATGAAAGAGGAACCCAGAGTCGTCCCTTTTTTTGTAGGCCAGGAGAGCTTGAAGCCGTCTTTCAGTTGGATCCTAAAAATCACAAGCTATGGCCCTCTGTTGGGTTCTCACAGTCCCTCAAGGATCAGCTGAGATCGCTCTCCTTTATTTTTGTTGTACTCGTTGGGGCAAGAGCTGGTCTCCAAACACGTCACAAAAAACGAACAAACAAAAACCGCTTCCCAGAACCTGCTCAGCAAAGCTCGGGCACTTCAAGGTCCAGTAAAGGAGGGCAGCCTTGAAGCTCACGGACCGGTACTCACCCTGCAGACGTTGTGCTGGCACTCAGTCGTGATCGGCTGGAAGACCACCTCCTGACAGCAGATGCACAGGAAGGTTTCCTCCACCTTCTTGAGGAATTTCTGCCATGAAACGGGAGTTGGAAAAATCGGAACATTGCTTTAAAAAAAGGAGGTGACACCTCTTTCCCTCCCCCCCGGGTGCCCAAAACATGCTGTGTCAAGCTTTGTGTCTACCGGCAGATCTAACTATGTGGCCGTGCCCCCCTTGGTCAAGTTGCAGCCGATGCCACGACAGCGAGCGTTCCTACGAAGAAGCTCAGAATGCCAGCCAGCTCAAAAGGTTGCGGGCGGGAGGCAGGTATGGAGAAGAGAGGCAGGCTGCTGGCCTGAGTTCCTATTTGTCTCTGGAGGGCAGAATCCCCAGCTTGGTGAGGCCCAGTCTTGCCTTTCTCTTGAGGGCTGCAGGAGGCAGACCAAGCTAAAGGCAGGGCCACCTCCTCACCCAGTTGGGGGGATAACTAAGACACACACACACACACACTACCTGTCCCTTACGTACCGGTCCATCCTTAAGGGCCTGCAGGGCTTCATTCCAGAGCTTCGTGTTGGCTTCGTCCTCTTTAATAAGACCCTTCTGCTGAGGGGTGAGCTTGTACGCCTCCACTTTCACCTTCTTTGGGGTGCTGGCAGGAGAAATGGAACAGTCCGACTGATTTCCTGGCAAAAGAACAAGACAGAGTTGGGTTTATTTTCTCCGGAGGGGGTGGAGGAGAGAAAGTTAAAAAATCCAAGAGCAGAACTGCAGGCCACTTGATGATAGTACGTAAACTCACCAGATTTCCTCTTCCGCTTCCCTTTTCCTGGGGTTTCCACCTCCTCTACATTTTTGCTTTCTTCCTTATCTTTGCTTGCCACTGCTTCCAGGTACCCTTCAGGATACTAAATGGAGGAGGTGAAAAATAGATTATATATAAACAGCCTTTATCCAAGTCCTCCAAAAAAAGAAACTCCTGCGAGTACTGGAACAGAATGCTAGATCGTTATCATCACAGAACTGGAAGGGACCCCATGCATCATCCAGTCCAGCCCATTAGGAAGGCCCAGTAGGGGATTCGAACTCTCAGCCTCTGACTCCAATCCCCCAAGCTGTTTAGTTTTAGCCTGAATTACCCCCAAGGATGTTTTGAAGTCCCTCTTCTCCCGGCACAAAGGGCTGAGCTGGCTCTGGCAGCCACAACTCCACTCCTAGGGCCCCCTGTCACCAAGGGCTAATGTGTGATATTGTCCGTGTCTACCACAGTGGGTTGTCTAAAGGGTCAAGAGTAAGCGTACCACAAAGAAAAATCACCCACTCCCCAGCCCAGCCGCCTACTGAACAAGTAAAGGTATCCTATTTTTGTTGCCTTTTATCAAAACATAACCCTGTCCTGCGGTTGTGATCCACTGCCAGATCACCTCCTGCTTCAAATACAATGGACTGACAGGGCATTTCCCGGCTTCATTGGAGCAAGAGAAAAACGTGCTACTTAATCCTCTCAGCAGAGAGTAAATAGTTACAGGATGTTTTTAATCCGCGTACCTATTTGTCTGGGTGCCCAAGCCCAGCAGAAAGCAGAAGGAAGGCAACAGTAAACGAGCCACCAGGGCTTCAGTGTGTGTGTCTACTGTGAAGGCTCATCCCCAGAGTGATGATGCTGCCCAGCCGTCCCCCGTCCACCCTGCGTGGCTCACCTGCATGGTCAGGCCCAGCTTCTTCATCCTCTCCTTGCCTTCCCTGGTCCATGGGGCGGGCTCCTCGTCGTCCCTCCGCAGCAGGTAGCGCCACACTAAGTAACCAGATTTCCCCGTTTCGGGCCAATATTTGACAACCTGAAAAGGAAATGGAGGGAGGTTGCAAAGTTGCCCCTGCGTAGCTTCTCTGGACAGCTGTTGGGCAGAAGGCTTTCTTTTTGTGTTTTTAAAAAATTAAATCTCCTTGGCTTCAGAGCTTTGAGTGCCCTTGACAGATGGATGCCCCAAATGCACTCCTCCTCCTCACCTTATATATGCCATCGTAGCGGTTCCCATCCTTGGGAGCGTATTTGCTGTGTCTTCCACCCTTCACATTGCGCACCACCCGGACAGGCTTGCCGGCTCTCCAGTCCTTCGCTTCTGCACCCTCTTTATCATTGATCGGGGCGCTGCAGTTCAGCGCCAGGGCCCTGCAGAAATCACACACATACACACGTGAGGCTGAATGACAAATCTAAGGTTTGTACAATTTCTTGGTCTTTGTTCACTTGGGAGTGATAAACAGGGAGCCCAATATTTTCTTCCAGAGCTGCTGCCCTCGGCATCTCTTGGACAAGAGGACGCGGCTCTCCTCACCTGTTCATGTTTGTAAGTTTTTGATCACAAGACTGCTCAGCTGTCCGCTTGTTCCCGGAAAGGTCCCGGCCTCCGCTTCCCGTGTAAGTGAAAGAATTTCCATGGTCCTGAAAGTGCATTCAGAACATTCAGACTGGAGAAGAAAAGGCGGGGGGGGGGACCCATTGAGCTGGTCTCAGGCATCAGAATGAATTGAGGCTGGGACTTAAAAAAACACGTTGAGGCTTGCAGACTGGCTAGGCATACGTGGATGCAGGACAAGGGACCCTGACTGCTGAACAGAAGAAGCGAAGGGAGGGAATTTAGAGAGAGGCAGAGGCCCCGGGTGCTCTAGGAAATATGGGCCTGCAAGCAGGAGGCGTTAGCTAAGAGGGTCTCGTGGTGGAGCGAGAGAGGGGAGGTCAGCCAGAAGGCAATGTCTTCTTGGATAGCTCATTAGGATACAAAATGCCCGGTGCCTTATTAAACTGGCTGGGAAAGGGGTGACGGGGGCACGCGCTGACTTACGATATCGTCTTCGTAGCCTCCTGCCAGGACCAAAGAGTAGGCGCCGTCGTTGCTTCGGCCATGAATCCCCGCCACGTGGGGCCTGTGGACGCCCGATTCGCTCACCTGAAGAGAGACAGGCCTGTTCAGCGGGGCCAGGTGTTTTTGATTTCATGGCCAAGGCAGGCATACCTCAAGCAGAGCAGCGGTAGTCATGGCACTGCAAAACTCTGGTCAAGTTGGAAGGGACCTCAAGGGTCACGGAGCCCAGCCCTCTTGATGGAACAGGAAAGGCACAGCCCAAGCCTCTGATAACAGGAAAGGCACAGCCCAAGCCTCCCCACAACCCTTTCACAGTCACACTACCCTCTCTCTCTCTCTCCTCCACTGCCAGCTTCAGAATCCTTTTCTTCCCCCTTAAGCTCCAGTGGATGCAGAAGAATTTCACCTCGTTGTTTTTTTGTATTGCTTGCCTCCTCCTTCCCTTCAGATTGAAGGAACGTTTTGCCCACCTGCACCTCCTGAAATCCACCCAGCAGCTGTCTCCTTGTCCCCCACCCTTCTGTCCACCCCAATTCCTGCTCCAGACACGGTCTCTCACCTGGACTCTAAACTTCCACATGGTTCCAACGGGAACCCCAGGGATCGGCCCGTAATGGTTTGATGGGACTATGGTACATTCCTTGGTCCGGCCAACACAAGCCATGCCCTACCAAAGGAGGAAAACACACACACACGTACACAGAGAGAAAAACACTACATGTTAAGGAATGTCATCAGAAATTAGTATCTCTGCTGCGTTGTGCATGTCACGCAGAGGTGAGCAGGAGGCAGACATGCTGACTGGCTGTACCCCAGCCCAGGACTCCTTGCCAACAATGGAGTCATCATCCTGAAACCCCAGCATGGTGACTGCCATGGGCCCTCTCCTTGGAGACAAATTCCCACTCCATGAACAGTTCACCACGAAATGCTCCCCCCGTGGCAACGATCAACAAAGAAACAAGAATCCTCCCCCCATCTATAGCTGTGCCTCAAGAAACTTTCCTCACACGCCTGGCTGTGGTGATTAGTCAGAGACGGCGGAAGACCAGGAGGCCCTCACCTTGCCCCAGTCCCGCTGGGAGGACGAGTTGGCAGATGCCATCTTTGCCTTCTTTTTACTCTCTTTCAGCTTCTCCCCAGCCAAAACGACCTCACTCGCGTCGTTGCGACATTCGGGGCAATACCTGAATTATCAGATGCCCAAGAGAAAAAAAAAAGACACATATACAAACTTGGTGACTCTCTGTCTTTTAAAGGCCTGTTGGGTTTCATATTTTTTATCTGCAGGACCAGCAAAGATTGGCTGGAAAACGTTTCCACTTAAGTTTCAGACCAAGACCTGCAAGTGATATAAGTTGGGTGGAAGCCACTAAGAGAAGCCAACAGCGGTCTGACAAAAAAAATCTACATACCGTTCAGTGTGTTGTAGAATCATGACAGTTTGCAGATAAACACAAACATATATAAACACAGAGAGAGAGAGAGAGAACGAGCAAGAGAGAATACTGGAGGAGTACCCACTGAATTCCTGATTACATTGACCGCTCTCTCGTGGGTCAGACTGGCCTCTGCTTCAGCTGGCAGTGACTCTGAAATGTCCTTCGCAGCTCTAAATCACTGGAGATGGCCAGGGGCTAAAACTCCTCCAGGCAAGGCAACACAGAAAGAAAAGAACCCCAGAACATTAAGGAATGCAAGGGAGAGAAGGAGAGGGAGAGAGAGAAAGAATATGGCTGGAGCCAGCCAAGGAATGGGTAGGGCCCATCCCTGTGGCCTTCCCGGAAAAGACTGCCATGTTTTAAGGGGGATCGTTCTGGAGGACTTGGAAGGCCAGCCCCGCTCCTCGCGACTCACCAGTCCTCATCGTCCGGGAGCGCCCTGAGAGGGGGGCTGAGGCAGTAGATGTGGAAAGCCATGTCGCACTCGTCACACATCAGTTGCTTCTCAGGATCTTGCTTCCCACCACAGAGGTGGCAGGCACACATCCGGCAGGTTTTGTCCGGGTTGTCTTTGCAGTGCCTGCACACCGGCCCGCTCGGCCCTGGAGGAATGGAAGCAGACAAAAGTGCCCCGCGCTGAAGGGACCACAGTTGTAGGACATGAAACGTCCCTGCCCCCCGAGGCCTAACTTATAAAATTCAGCCAAAAGCTGGGAAAGTTTGCCCCAGGACTCCCAAACCAGATGGAGATTTACCAAGCAGAGATGAGCGTTGATCCCCAAAGGGGACAGAGGCCTTGAGTGCGAAAGGCCTAGAATCCTCATCTCTTCCGACAAAAACAACCCAGAGAGAACAACTGGTGGCTGGTCCTCCTCAGTGGAGGTCTTAGGCCAAAGGGCACAGGGCATGTTTAACCTTCCGGCAATCTTTAACTGTCCAGCGCTAAAAAGGGGAGGGAGGGCAGAGTCGTCCCCAAGGAGAAGCGAGCCACTCACTCTTCATGGGGCTTTCAGAGGTGAGTGGCACAGCGCACCCGGGCTCCTCGATCTTGTAGATCTCATCCACCAAAGAGATCCGGCAGTCGGTCAAGATGTCTCCACCGTCACTGGAAGGGAAAAGCACAACATCAGCCGACATGAAGGAAGAGACATAAACTAGAGACTTGGGCAGGGGTGTTGCCTTCGCACTCTCGGTCCGACAGAGAATTCATGACAGTGGACGCCTATGACCCTAGAGTGGAATAGAAAGAAGCAAGGTCCCCACTTCCTTCTTCTCTCCTCTAATCTCACACTGTGAGATCTTGTCCCCCTCCCACTTCCCTGCCAGGCCCGTCACAGACAGCAACCTTTGGACGAACGTTTCCATCGGGACCCTTGGTCCTGCAGACCTGATGCACGGCTGGCTGCTTACCCGAGAACGATCTTGGCATACAACTCCTTGCACGTCCTGGTCTCCCGCTTCTGTAGGATTTCCGCGTCATACCAGAAGCCCCTCTCCTTCGGATCGTCGGGGTTGTAGTTCAGCATGACAACATCTCCCACTTCCAGTTCCTCCCACTTGAGCGTGGTCCTCGCACGAGCACGCACGTTTTTGGAGGTCAGCTGGATGACGCCATTCTCCGGGTAACTTGATTTGGGGGAGGAGGTTGAAGAAAACAGTTCCACAACATTAATGCAGCCGGCTCTCCCTACCACTATGCAAGAGTGACTGCCCCCCCCAGAAGAAAAGATGGAAGAGTTCCCGTTGTTGTACAGAACATAAAACAGGAAGAGAGTGGGGAGGGGGGAGAATGGAGAGGGAAGAAACAACCAAGCCAATCCAGGTCCTCTCCTGAAAATCACAAGAAGTGCAAGCCAAGATGCCAAATCCTCCAGAATAAAACATCAGGAAACCAATTTAAAACCAGGAGGTCCTCCAACCTGATCGCCAGAGACAAACGCATACCGGCGAAAGACCATCCAAAGCAGCCTTCCCGAGGGCCGCACCCCAGCCATCAATTCCAGCTCAGGAGATTAAGACACGTAAAAGGGAAAGCCAGGGCAGTAGAGAGAACCTCTGCTCCTGCCAATCTCCAACAGCCACAGGAGACACAGGCCTTTCCTGTACAGATAAGGTGCGCTGGTTGCCTCCGCCAGAACTATTCCCCCCCCCCCGCGCCTCTTCCACTTCATGATGGGAAATCGACAGAAAAAGAAAATGAAAAGACTGACAAGTAGAGGGAAGCCCGGCTTCCTCTTTGGACCTCTTCAGGAGCAAGTGGCTTTCCTGAACCAGCATCCCCCTTCTAAAGGAACTGGATAAATATAGACGCACACTCACTCTTCGTATTTCACGTGGTAAACAATGTCCTCTTCCAGGATGGCTTCTTGAAGATCCGACTCCTCATCGCTCTCGCTTGCCTTCTCAGCCGATTTCCCTTTCTGTGTCACGTTGACGACGATCGCTTCGAACCAAGCTCCCATGCTCGTGTCACGAGCATCCACCAGCTCGTTGATCTGAAAACAAAAGCCCAAACATTTAGCTTCTTGCCATAAGTTTAATTGAAAGAGCAAAGTCTGGTTGTAAAAGTGGAGGGAATGAGGCAGCTGAAGAGTTATGGGGTTTAGGTTTCTGGCTGTGGAGCCAGAGAGAGGCTGGGAGTTCGATTCCACCAATGGACCTCCTTGACAGGGTGGCTGGGCTCAAGGATCCATAAAGACCCTTCCAGCTCTGCAGTTCTAAGAGGATGATGACTGGAAGTCACTCACATCCCAACCTGTCACAGGGGTCATAGGGCAAAAGGGGTGGCATTCCAAGGCAAAACCCAGGACAGGAAGCAGGCAGGACAACCCATCCTATTCCAGCTCCTGAGAACAGCCCCAAAGTTGGATCAGGCCAGAAGCCTCCCTATCGCAACACCACGTTTGCACAGCAGGCCAAACAGCTGCCTAAGGAGGCTGCTCATAGGCTCCAAGCTCGGCAGCACCTTCTTATAAAAGGTCACGATTTGTTTTGTGGAAGTTTGCTCTGGCAGAGGACATGCTGCATGCACTTAAAACTGATAAGGAACACGGGCCCTTCTGGCTAGGCATGGCTCTGGACCTCTGAATCCACCCGAAAAGCAGCCCACCTTGTAGAATCCAAAACCCGGATCGACCAGGTCGGCTTGAGCGGCGACACTGGCCTGCCCCTCCAGCTCCACTGCCCCTTCCCCATTGTTGGAGCTCTTGTCCGATTCGCTCTGGGCCGAGCCGCAGCCAGAATCTGTGTCCGAAAGTTCGGAGTCCTTTTCTTTGCTCGGCAGAGGCTGGCTGGCAGGGCTTGGCCTCACCAGCAGCTGGACAATGTCGTTCAAGCCAACGTTGTAATCAAAAAGGGAATGGCTGTCCTCCATCTGCGAAAGAAGAGTTGGAAGAAGGGAACGGGTCACTAGATGACACGGAACGGTCCCTAGAGGCTGGCGGGTAACTACATGGCATGCACAACAGCAAAAACGTTTCGCTCTGCCTGGTTTGAAACGCCAGTCTTTAGGCCAGCGTTTCTTAGGAACACATTAAGCAATTTGGAGCAAAATGGTATTTCCCACTTACTGTATCGAGCTGAAGATCTTTGGTTCAACTCATAAATGGCAAGAAAGTTCCAACGTCTCCCAAAGAACAAGTACAGTGTGGGCCTACGTTGTTTCTCCCAAAACCAGGATCGATTTGAGCAGCTGGGGTGGGGGAAGAGACAGCCTATCCTAGCCCTTTTTTATTTAAATCACAACTTAATTTTCTTTAAAAAAAAAACCAGATTCGGGGGAGTAGTTTTAATTTTAAAAAGGATTTAAATTTAAATCATGATTTAAATTGTGATTTAAATCCACTTGACTAAAAAAAAAAAACCCAACACCACTGATTTTTATCCACCCTGAGAGAATTCATTATACCACCTAACAGGCTTTCTTTCCCACAAAACACAAGGCTCACACTATGTCCTCCTATTGTTACTAACGAAAGACACATACGTGGCTCAGAAGTTCTCTCCTCCCATATTTCTTTCTGACATTATCTCTGCCTTGGCAGGGGCAGGGTGGGTGGGTAAAAAAAAAGTTCATTCAGTGTGCTACTTGCATTTCCAGGGCTGAGAGGACAGGCTGTCTCCTGCCAAGAATCCAAATCTCATTGAACACCGACTTTGAGCACGTTTTTCTCTCCACCTCCCCTTCTGTGGGGGTTTTAGCCTACATTGGTTTGCAGAGAAGATGGCTGAGGCAACGTATGCAACACAGAGGAGAACTATGGCCTAGAAAAGAGTGGAAACACATGCCCCTCGCCACCCTGGAGGTCACCAAATTCACAGAGCCTGTGCTCCCCGGGGCCAAGGTCACACAAGATAGGTGTCACTGGCCCACAAAGGTCTGTGCCACATCACAGTTAAAGATACTTCAGGACTCTTGCTTGGGTGGAAACACCACACTGTGAGTTGGAAGGAAGCTTTTTAAAAATTCTTCCAGTTGTTTATCCTCCCTTCCCCAACCCACCCTGATGGACCTAAAGGGCTCCATCTACAATTCTAGTTCTTTTGCCAAACTGCCTGCCTGGCAGGTGACTCCCAGCGACTGGCTTGCCATCCAGATTTGAGGCATACAGGGTGCCCCCCCTTCGAACAAAAGCGTCCACCCACATTTTGAGTCAGGACACGGAATCCCATAAAGAAGCAGTCAATTGAAAGAAATTCCATTAATGCTCTTCCATGATCGGCAGATTAAACTTCCTGAGAAATGGGATGTAAAATGACCTCAAAATCCTTAAAAGCAGAATAACCACAGTGGTTATGAGAAGCAATCAGCTCTCGCTCACACCACCAAAACGTTACCCTTTAGTCGGACACAAGGAGGCAGGCAGCCATCGGGACCAGCAGCTGGCCACAAAACAGAAGGGCTTTTAATGCATGGAAATGAATGGGAACCACAGGAGAGGCAGCGGTTGGCGTTCCTGGGAAATAATACACTTCCCTCGGCCTGAAACTTCCCTCGGCCTGAAATACATCGTCTCTTAGAAAAAGCTCCAGACACGTCCATTCACTTCTACACAACGAAGCAGGAAAGAGGTGATGAAGCTGTAGGGGATTGGGGGAGGGAGGCAGAATGGGAAAACCAGCCATGCCTTCTATTTGCCTCAACTCCTTTGCAGATCACCATCCATTAGATCAATTAGGGCCCTCATCTGTATGCAGAATGACCTGAAGAGGAGGAGGCAGTGAGACATCCCCTTTGTCTTGCTAGACAATGGGCTACAAAGCCCACAGTTAGGAAAAATGTTGATTTGAATATCTGCATCTTAAGAAGCGAAGCTCGGCCTCTTGGCCTTCCAGAGCTCGTTTACAGACTCCCGTGATCATCAGTGTAGAGAGTAAGAGGAGTCTAATGGGTGGGGAGACCCCCGTCCACACTAGGCTGGAGAACATCCATTCATGTTCTCCATTCATTTATTGTATGTATACCGCAAGAGAACTGAGGTGGCAACCATGCACAACTGTTTCACAACCTCCCCACAAAACTAGGATGACCAACTCGAAAAGACAGACACTGTCCCACTCTCTGGTAGAGACTCTGAGGAGCCACCAAAGAAGACCCGTCATGCGCTTGTATGTGTATTGCATGAAATTGCTGGGTTTCTCCAAGTTGTGCTGCCTCCAAACACACACGGCCTCAAGATTTCCACGGCTGCACAGCCACCCCACGGAGTCGGAGTCTTGGCCTTTTCCCATCAAAAGGGTTTTTCGAAAAAGGGAGTGGGTTCCTTTCCTCTCCCCCTGAAATGACGGATTCCACCCACTGAGTCTCCAGGTGGCACCCAGACCCCAACCGACTCCTCCGCTCTTTCCCATACTGAGCTGCACAGAGAGGTGTACCGCTTTCTTCCCTGGCACCTGCCAAGCACAACAGAGAGGAAGAGGCCTCTGGGCTGGAGGGGGCCTTCCTTCCTTCAGAGGAAGGGAGCCTGCCAGCAAAAGTTCGGCACAAATGGGGCTAAGGGAGCCCTTGCAAAACAACACTCTGGGGAGAAGGGGAGAAGCCAGACACACCCTCCTGCCTGGCCTTTCTCAGGAAAAGAGGAGGCACTTGCTGGCCTTCAATGCCAGGTCAAGCAGGGCTTCACGGGCAAACGGTCCAAAAACCCTGCCAGCTCTCCAGTTTTAAATTCGTGTTATATTTTCCAAAGATCTCTACAGAAAGGGAAAGGTGTAGGAGTTACACACAACCCCAATGACTTAATTATTTCTAACTGCAGCCAAACCGCAAAACTTGAATGTACGCTGCATCTTGAACCCACGGTTTCTTCCCAGCTTGCACCAGATGGGAACAGATAACATCGTACGACTCAAAGTCTTTTACCACACCTTCAAGCAATGCAATGCAGAGCTGAGTTTTCAAGAAAGCTGGGATTACGGGTGCCGGACCCCCGTTGTACTTCCAAATCCATGCATAACTCTTATGCCCCCATCCCAAAATAAACACAAAGCATAACCCATTAATGAACAAACACACATGCGCACAGACACACACCTCCCCCAATGTGCACCAACCTCCTGGCACACCTCAGCACCCTCCCTGGCCACCACGTGGAGCCGTCATGCCAGGAGAGGGGGCCGGCCAGGCTGCCGCCATCAGACCAGGGGCCACTACACGGCCAACAACAGGGGCCTCAGTAAGTCCGACACCCATCCTTTGGTGGCCATTTCTTGGAGAGATGAATAGCAGCACCATATTTAATATTTATTTATTGAGTACTGATTGGGGAAAAATCTATATAAAACCATGCTGTTCAGACCTGGGCAATTCAAGGGAGACATTTATGCTTCTTTCTCAACTTAAGTACAAAACAGAGCACAACCCATTACACAACTTCAAGATCCACTCAGCGACTAGCTTTAACATAAGCCTCAAGGCAAAGGCTTCCAAATCTACGCCCTCTAGCAAGCCCAGCCAATTTTAGCTTCCTGTCAAGGACCCCTGAAAGCCAACTCCCAGCCTTCTCTGGTTGCGGGGTGGGGGTGGGTGTCAAACCTCAGTGGCAGGGGAGACACCGCACATGCTCTGCATGTCAAAGGGGCCAGACTCAATTCCTGCACCCACCAGGTAGAGCCGCAAAAGACCCCTGACCAGCTGCCAGCCAGCACTCTCCATTCTGGGCTACACAAGACTCTGGTCTCATTCAGTATAACTCAGCTCATTTGTGAGAATTGTATCCAAACGCAGTGGTTCTTAACGTGGGCGATAATGCCCCCCAGGGGGTGATTTCATTTTTCAGGGGGGCGGTAGAACGAAAAGGGGCGGCGTGGGGGCGCTGGAGCAAAAGGGGGCGGTAGGGGGGCGCTGGAGCAAGCCAAACCTGTGAAGATGGCTGCAGCCTTTTTACAGTGTG